CGGCAGACTGCTGGGAGGAGTGGCCATCGCTCTGGGAGGAGTTCTGCCCGGCATTCGGGCGGTTCTACAGCCCGGGGGAACCAAGAGGTCAGCCGAGTCTGGGTGGACAGATCGGACGGCATCTGCAGCCAGTTTCTTAGGATCCACTGTGGGATGGACCTTTACAAGAGATCCTTCCTGTCTACAGCCATCAGTATCTAGAACATCTCTTAATGAAATGAGGATAATGAGTTACAACAACAAATCATTTCCTTTTGGGATTAATAAAGTATTCTTGAATTGAATTGAATTCTCTTATCAGACTATTGATGTCAATTTAGTTTGTTAAAAACTGGAGGATAATGTTTTAGAATGTCTAAAGACATGTAGTTTCAGGTGATGTTTAAAAGACAACAAATTAAACCAGAAAAATGCTATGTATTGTCTTCAAAGCTACAATAATTATAGGCATCTGACACAATTTCATAGTTGTTTTATGCTAAATAAGTAAAGAACTAACAACATGAGGTCAGGCAGGAATCCCCGGACTGTTTGCAGATGACATTGTGATCTGTGGTGAGAACAGGGAACAGGTGGAAGATAAGTAAGAGAGGTGGAGGTATGTGCACTTAAGATAAAAGGAATAAAAATCAGCCTTAGTAAGACAGAGTACATGTTTGTGAATAAGAGGGAGGCCGGTGGAACAGTGAGGCTACAAGGAGCAGAGGTCACAAAGGTGCAGGACTTCAAGGACTTGAGGTCCACTGTCAAGGAAAATGGGGAGTGTGGTAAAGAGGAAAAGAAGAGAGTTCAGGCAGGATGGATTAATACAATTTGAAAGAGGGTGGCAGCAAAGGTCAAAGAAAAGGTTTACAAGACAGTGGTGAGACCAGTTAGGTTGTATAGTTTGGATTCGGGGTGGGCAGCATGGTGGCGCAACTGGTAGAGCTGCTGCCTCTCAGCAAGCAGGTCCTTGGTTCAAACCCCGGTCCAGGGGCCTTTCTGGGTGGAGTTTGCATGTTCTCTCCGTGCATGCGTGGGTTTTCTCCAGGTACTCCTGTTTCCTCCCACAGACCAAAAACATGCATGTTAGGCTGATTGGTAACTAAATTGTCCCTAGGTGTGAGTGAGAGAGTGAATGGTTGTTTGTCTCGTTTGTCTCTATGTGGCCCTGTGATGGACTTTCGACCCGTCCAGGGTGTACCCCGCCCCTCACACAGTAATTGCTGGACATGGGCACCGGCGACCCCCGTGACCCAAAACGGAATAAACGGGTAAAGATAATGGATGGATGGATGGATGGTTTGGATTCGGTGGCACTGACAAAAAGACAAGAGACAAAACTGGATGTGGCAGAAATGAAGATGTTGAGGTTCTCTTTAAGATACATACATCTGCATATGAAGCTTACCTCAGCTTTAAAACTCAAACCCCACACTCTGTTTTTTTAATTGAAAGCTCCTCGGATGAGAAGCTAAACATCTTCAGTTACAAAATAAAGTCCAGTTGATTTTGTCTTGAACTTTATTTGAATTTACCATGTCCTAGATGACTGAGAATTTTCACCAGTGTTTCTCCTTAAGAGTGATAAGGATGGATAAGATTAGGAATGAAATCATCAGAGGTACCGCACATGTTGAACAACTGGGCAATAAAGTTAGAGAGGCCAGATTGAGATGGTTTGGACATGTGCAGAGGAGGGACAGTGGGTATACTGGTAGACAGATGTTAGAAATGCAGATGCCAGGAAAAAGACAAAGAGGAGATATATGGATGCAGTTAGAGAGGACATGGAGGTAGTTGGAGTGAAGACAGAGGATGCAGAGACAGAGATGGAGGATGACTCGCTGTGGCGACCCCTGAAGAGAGAAGACAAAGAAAGAAATGTGGCAATGTGCTTCCAATATAACCTTTTCACTCTAATAAGAAGGGATTAAACTATGATAAATTGTATTTCCTAT